TTGAAAAACCCTTTGATTGATCATCTCGACATCAAGATGTATGACTATGAAAAATAAAAAGATTTTAAGTCTCAGAAGTAATGCATTTTACAACATGTTATCTACACCGTCCATTTTCAAGATTTCCATATGTTTATAGATCTACTTGATTTTAACCATTTTTTAAATTTAAAATTTTATAATTAGATATAAAAATAGACTTTGAGATAATCCTAAGAACATTTTACATCAAAATTATATACCATGATAAAATTTGAAGGTGCACCTTACCTCTACACCTACAGATGCGTCCGTATGCAAACTGCACCCTTCTCTAATTGCCTATGCATTGAAACTGTTTCCTTTCTCTTAGATAGTGACATCCCAGCAAATTATCTTTGCACCAGATCTCTGTCCTTCTGTTAGTTCTGGAGTAGTAGCCAGAGTTGTCAAAACACAAATACCTGTGAAGCCCGATGAGTCAAATGATTCCGAGGAGAGAAATCTACCAGCAATGCTCGAAACAACTGCAGCTGTTCACGCAGGGGGTAGTGGTGGTGCCGTTGTCAATACAGATGGATGTATGATTGGACTTGTAACAAGGCAAGCATTTTGGCATAACTGCGAACAATCATTACTAGTATTATTTTAATGAAATAGGAGCCATTTTCGATTAATTCTCAAGAACACAAAAATCTGGGATGGAAAAGTAATCCGTACCTTGCCTGTGTATGTATATGATACATGATCTGGGCATCCCCCATTCATAGGGGTGGGAATTGGGTTGGTTTTGACCCCAGTGGGTAGCTTGGGTCTTGGTCCATTTGACCTTGACCCTACTAAGATTGAGTCTGGGTCCAGGTCCAGCTTAGATCTTGTCGGGTCGGTTAAAGCCATGCTTTGGACCTGAAATAAAAAAAATATACTATGTATATTGTATTATATAATTAATATTAATAATATTTATTTATACTAATATATTCGCTGATCTCAAATAGTTGGGAAAAGGCGCTGATGATGATGATTTATGCTAACACATACTGGGTTGGGGGGGAGGGGGCGACCCGACCCGACCTGTTCCCACCCCTAACCATTCGTACTCAACAGCAGGCAGTGGAGATTAATAGTATCTAGGTAATGGTCCTAGAGAACACGAATGATTCTAACCTGTTGGTTGTTGAGAATGGATAGTGGCCGCCCTCTCTGTGTGCTATAGTTTCCGCAATTGGGAAGTGATGCATTGGGAAAATGTGATTTATTTGTTCCCAAGCTTATTTATGAATATCTGTCTGCTGAATACAGCAATGCAAGGCACAGTGGAGGAACTGTCATACCTCACCTGAACTTCAGCATACCATATGCAGCTTTGATTCCCGTGTTTAAGTTCGCTAAAGGTATTTACCTATCTCTATTCCCCTTTATTTGGTTCAGTTAAAAGCAGTGTGTCAAGACTCTTCTAATAGTCACACTGCAGTACATGAAGAGAACTCAGTGTATATATGGGCAGGTATACTATAATATATTGGATTTATTGTGTGTGGTACTCAGAAGGGCATGATAGTGTAGGGTAATTCTACCTGGGAATGTCCTAGTTGGCCCTACTATAGTTAAATCTCTACTATCTGTCATTAGGAAAGAATGGTTGATGCCTTTTGGAGAACCATTATCAGACTAAATGCGATAAGTGTACATCTTCTGTTGTTTGAAATGTCTTCCCAAATTGAATTAATGCTAAAAAATATTTGTCTATAGACATGCAGGACATGTCAGTATTGCAGGTTCTTGACAAGCCAAATGAACCTGTCTCAACTGTGTGGGCATTGATGCCCCAAATGTCCCCAAGACCGTTGCCAAGATTTCCATATCTACCCGAGTCTCTTTTGGATCAGAAAGAAGGGGGAAAGGGATCCCGTTTCGCCAAGTTCATCACCGAACATGTCGAGAAGGGAAGTTTTGGCAGTTCTTCTACTGCTGAATTCATTCCAAGCAAATTATGAGAGGATAAAGTGCAAAGTAGGATGAAGATCTGTAGTTGATTATATTCAAGGCTGAGAAGCCCATTCTTTGTTTCATGTGGTATACATCTTCTTGGGATGTCCTTGTATTCCCTATCTAGCATTTCTTTCCATATAAAGATCTATGTGGGTCTTGTAGTGATGGGGTTTTTGAGCATGATATACATATTCATGCATAGAGACACGAGCATGCGTTACTAGTGGACTTATTCTCTCTTCAGTTCAAAATAATTGCCACGCATCGTCCTTTTCCCAACTAGTTCAAAATAATCGCCACAGACTTGTATTAAGCAGTGGATGTACCAATTCAATTAGCTGGATTCTTACTCTTCTTTGTTAGGCATTTGGAATTCAAAAAGATGTACATTTATAATGACATCTTGTTGTTTCGGTTGGTTCGTGACCATTGAAGACATTTTTAATAATTTGGGGCCTTCAGGCCAAAGTCTACGATGTTTACTCATCATGGCATAGCCGAAACAAAGATGTTCACCAGAAAGAAGACATCCCTTTAACAGGACAATTATCAAGATGTTGCTATTATCGATTAAACCATAATATTTTCAAGATATAGAGTAAGATTGGATGAGAGAGAGAGAGAGAGTGCATATTCCTATTACAATCATCATCATCTAAGTTTTATCTAATTATTTGGAGTCAGTTATATGAATATTTTCTCTATTAAAAGTTATATCATCAGTAAGATCAAAAGTTACCATTTCTTTCTCACTACTTCTGTTTATGTCTTTTTGGACATTTTTTTATGTTTTTGTAGAGCATTTCTCATTACGAAATGATACTATAAACCCACACCCATGTGAGTAGGATTTCAAAAGATCACTATTAAATTTTGACACAAATCTCTAGAAAAGTTGGAAACTTGGATGAATGATTTAATTTTTTTTTAGAGATCTGTGTCAAAATTTGATGGTGATATCTTGGGGTCCTATTCACATGGTGCGGGAGGGTCTCATAGTATTATTACTCTTTCTCTCTTGAATCAAATCGTACTTCTTAACTAATGTTGTATTTGGTCTATATTGTTTATTTTCTCTCTTCTTATTGCCTATTGACGCCACACCTAAATTCTCTCGTACGTATTCATTTCGAATTATATTTTTTTTTGTTTTGCCACTAATCCATCTAAAAATTATTATCTTAGCTACGTTCATCTTATGGATATATTGTTTCTTGATCGTCTAACATTCGTCTCGTAAAGCATGGCCCCTATGTGCCATTCACATAAAATTTCAAAAATACATCTCTACTTCGTCCATCCAACTCTAGTTTTATGTGTGACATCTTTAACAATTTATTCATTCTCTTGGATTATCGACCCTAGATATTAAAAACAATACTTTTTAAGTATTTATTGACTATCAATCTTAACTATTTCGTATTTACTCTTATTATTAGTAAACTTGGATTCCATATATTTTGTCTTAATCCGGCTAATTACATTCAAGAGTGTCCCTCAAATATTTTTACTTTGTGTTGACACCACCTCTAATCTCATTGATCAAAACAATGCTGCCCGTGAATAATATATACCATTGCATCTCATCTTGTAGTTCCTGGTTAACTTGCCCAAAACCAAAACAAAGAGGTATGTGCTTAGCACTGACCCCTAATGTAGGCTCATAGTAATTGAGAACTTACTTGTTTTTCCAGTAGTTGTCTGTATAATAGTTAACACTCCCTCGTACACATCTATTACTATGTCAATATGGCCTTTGGCGACTATTTTCTTTTCCAGCACCCACCAAATTAAACTTCTACCTTATCGTATACTTTCTCTAAATCAATAAAGACCATGTAAAAGTCTTTTTCCTTTGTCCTAAACTTCTCAATCAATTGTTTAAATGAGAAAAATGCTTTAGCAGTTGATCTCCCTAGCACAAACCGAATTGATGCATACTTCAATTAGAATAATTAATTGAATATTTTGAGAAAATTATAGATGCCCCTCTTTACCCTACTTTTTATGCATGCCACCTCCCAATACTTTGTATATCACACTCCTATCCCCAAAACTTTCTATATTTGTAACGACCTCCTAAAAGTAAAAAAAGTAGGCTTTTTAGGGCTTAAATGCTCTCTTTTTAGGCCACGTTTTCCGGTCCCTCTCTAAGCCGGTCCAACACACTTGATATAGAGACAATTTGACACATTTTTTGTGTCGGACAGGCCGTACAGGCTCTGTATTCAAGTTGTGCCAATCTAGGATAAAAGTGCCGGACCAAAACAACTTGGATATAGAATCGGTTTGGCACATTTGTTTGCGCTAGGCGGACACATGTTGGGTATCATGTTTTGGAATCATGGGGTAAAATGGAGAGTATTTTGGTTAAAAAAAAATCATTTTTTTACTTAAAAGGTGGCTGAAAAGAAAATAGTTTTGAAGTTAATAGTGTGATCAAGAATTAGAATATTCGATAGATCATGCCTAAAAAGTACAAATTGGGGGAGTATTTATAGTTTCCCAAATATATTTTTCGTGTGTGAGAAATGCCCTTATTCATATCCAAATGTTCAAATGTTGCTTAAAAGTAAAGTTTGTAAATTTGCAAGGCTTTTTAGAGTCAAAATCCTTTTTCTAACCCCTCTTTGTAATGTTCATGAGAGGAAAGTGAATTAGAGGGCCCTACGTTTTTTCTTTTGTTGGAAAGCTCTATCTGGAGAGAGGTTTTCAATATGAAAGCGCCGTCACATGAGAAGCACTTTCATACCAAAACAGGTATGCAAGCCATATTTCTTGCAAAAATGCATGAAGAGGCATTTTTGGTGTGCCGTAGCTCTTCCACAGGTGCTACAGGTTCCACCTCTTTCCAATGAAACAAACATGGGAAAGTAGTGATTTAGCTGGAAAGTACCCTTGTGTGAAACAAACATGGCCTTATATTCTCTTGGAGATTTCACCTTCATTGCTTGATACATTAGTATTATTTGAACTAGATTATGTTCTTGGCTGGCGGCCTGATTGATCGGAAGAACCTACATTCTAGTGTGTCAACCTGACCAACTAGACATGCAATCATCAACTAACACACCCTATCCTTGTGTCTGCCTTCCATAATCCGTCGTAAACATAGATTTTGTATCTGAAATTTCACAAATTGATAACATCAACCCTATCGACTATGAACCACAAAAATGTTTTAAAATCTTAGAAATAGCCTATCTGAAATTTTTTGAAAAAATCAATTTTTAAGTCTTCTTATAAGACCAAATTTGTATTTGTTTTTTGAGCCTCAAATTTATGGATATAACAAAGAAATGTCTTTGTAGTGGTAGAGGAAGGGTTCGAGATCCTAAATCCAGAAAAAAAACCAGGGTGGACTCGTGCATCTCTAGAAACATAGTAAACTTTTCAGGGGAATTTTTTTGGCTAAAGCAGGGGAAAATTTTGGGTAAAACAGGGGATGAAAAACACATTCTTTTCATTTCTTTTTTAAGCCACCCAAAATGTTAATCACGAGCAATCTTTAAGGTGCAAAGACCCCTAGCCAAACTGCTAGACGCCACCAAGCCCTTTGTTTTTATTCCCCTAAAAATATCATTAACAAGCCCAAATTATCCTGCACCTCATAAGGGCATATCTATATATATAACAGAAAAAATTACAAAAAAAATTTGAACAAATTAAAGGACTAAAATACCCCTTAAATTTTTAGGAATAATTTGGCCATTTTAGTTTTTCAAAATATTGATTTTATATTTTTTTTACAGGTGCGCGAAAGAAAGAAGAATGGACAACTTAAATTTTAGCTCATTTTCATGCACATAAAACATTCGAATATTTAGAAATGCTATCAATTAGATCAAGATGAGATGGTTGACATTGATAACCTCTTAGGTGAACTAGAATACGGATTATTTGGTTATTTTAAAATTGGCTTGTATTCATCCTTTTTTTCTTTTTCTTTTGTCCCACTATTATGTGGAGATGAAAACTGGAGGGTACTTTCACCTCATTCAGGCACATATATGAAAATACAATAAATAATTCAAATAAAACAAAGGGTGTGGATTGTATAGAGGCGAGGCTATAAACAATCAAATTAGAGCCGACCTTTAAATAGTATCGAGAAATGTGGTTTCAATACTGAAAATCTTTGTAACAGCCTTAAAATATATTTTTATTTTTAATTATAAAATTTAACGCTTAAAAAATAGTGTAGATCGAACATACCTATGAAAACTTGAAAATCTTAAAAATTGACGGTCCAAAAATACATTATAAAATGCACTATTCCAAAACTTGAAATCCATTTTTTTTCTCATGTTCGTGTATCTTGATGTCGAGATGATCAATTTGAGGATATATAGGCATCAAAACAACCTCTTCTAGTGAAATTTTTGAGGTGGGCTCTAATTTGGTTGTTTAGAGCCTTGGTTTTATATGAACTTTTTCTAAAATGACCAAAATATCTCGCAAAGTTTAAGAGTATTTTGGTCGTTTTATCTTTTTAAAATACTCTTTTATATTTTTTACCAGTGAACTAGGGAATAGAGTTGCCTAAAAGTCTAGCTTAATCCAGTGTACAAAAAGTTAAACTAAATTTGAGATCAACATGTTCTCAACCATCGATTTTGTAGTGACCTACAACCATATTATTTTATATATTTAATTGATGGAAATATATACAATGAGACTATTTATTTGTGACAATGAGGTCGATTTGAAATTGGGTGGTTGGTGATGCATCATTGTTTAGGCACAAAGTCCAAAATAAAATTTATCGAAATGTTGTGATACGCTTGCATCTATTGGATTTCACATCTAATGGTTAAAAATAATTGCGAGCTTCTTGTACCAAAAATAAATGGTCTCATAGTATACAATCTCTTATATGATCAAGACCGTATATTTTGATAAACATACCGTAGGTAACCTATGATTTTAAATTCTTCGTCATTAAACAAATATCACCCTATCATGGTAAAACTTTAATAAAAGGTTAAAACTAGCTGAATTTCATATCTCCAGGTTTTCAAAATCCTAGGTTCAATCAAACAAAAGTTCTTAGACTTCGTATAATTCAAGATATGTTATCAAAATACAATAGGGTGGGGTTGCTATAAGGTTGCAACCTTTATCAAAATACAATAGGGTGTAGTTTCTATAAGGTTGCAACCTTAAACAATCCAATGAAGGCGCACCTCGGACTTTAATTATAACATGTAATTTTGGTGTAAAAAATTATTAGGATTGCAAGCTTAAAATGTAGAATTACGGACGTACCTAAAAAATCCATCGAAAATGGTTGTTTTAAAGTTGAAAAAACCTCTAATTGATCATCTCGACATCGAGATGTATGAATATGAAAGAAAAACAGATTTTGAGTCCCAAAAATAGTGCATCTTGCAACACATTATCTAAACCGTCTATTTTCAAGATTTTCTTATGTTTATAGATCTGCTTGATTTTAACGATTTTTGGAGTTT